CTGCACGAGATGTTCTCAGAACACTTCTGGCTGGGACTGTCTTGCTTTAGCACATCGGGTTTATGTTCTAAGAACTGTTTTTGTAGAACCTTTTTGGGTTCCAAGAACATATCGTGGTAGGCCTATAGGAGTGCCGGGACGGTCGGTCCCTGCTCAATCCAGGGTGCCCCTGGGTTGCTTGGGTTTCGATGGCTCTTGCCGTGGGGAGCGTGGCGTTGCCACACCCAAAACATCGGTGGACGTCGTGGGCTCTCAGGGTTGGGTTGCTTGTGGAGGGGTTCTTCTTGTGTGGGCGAGCCCCCAAGGTAGGCGCATTGGTTCAAGGGCACCCTCGAGGCCGCGGAGTTGCTCGCGCTCTCGCGCTCTCGCGCTCTCGCGCTCTCGCGCTCTCGCGCTCTCGCGCTTCGACCCGAGATTCGGGTCTTCGGGTTGGGCTGGGGTGGCCCGTCGGGCAGTCAGCGATGGCGGCGCGCCATTGCTTTTGTGGTCGTTGCCTGCCGGCCCTGGCTGGCTGCAGCGGCCCGGGATCGCCCTCCAGCCGCCGCGGAGCCGAACCTCCGGGGCAAGGGCAAGGGTCGGGGGAACGCAAGACCCGAGTAAGCCGGAACTCGGGTTTGCCGACGTTCTTCTGACGAGCGCGTCCTGGATTTTGACGGTCCAGTTTTCGTGGGATGTCTGCCGCGGGAGCTCGCGTCAAATTTCAGATTGGGCCTCGTCATTTTTATGATGGCCCCGTCGGGCCAACCCGAGTCCCCCATACCCGAGTCTTACGTCTCCAAGAAAGGGGGGGGGAATAGGGCCAGAGAGGAGATGCAGCGACCCTCGGTCGTCCATCCGTCGCCGATAGGTGGCCCGACGGCCCCACCCCGCCCAGGAGCGGGCCGATCTGCTGTCGGGGGCCCGCTGGCGATCTGCTGGCGACGCAGCGGCGATTCCAGGTCACAACGTGCTCCCCCGGATGCCAGCCGCTCCCGTACAGTAGGGGTCCTGAAGAAGGAACCCTTTTCGTTGGGGAGGGGCTCCATGTTCCTTGATTGCTCCACAGCTTGCCTTGGGTTTTCCTTAGGTTTCCGAAGGGAAATCGAAGTTCAGCTTCTGGAGAAAAGGTGCCTCGTTCCTTATTTAGGGTTCCTTAGGTCAGCGCCCCGATTGTATCGGCGATTCCAGGTCACAACGTGTTCCCCCGGATGCCAGTCCCTCCCTATTGTTGCCCATGAGATCTGCGCCTTGCAGGGCACTGCAGCGTCCACTACAGTTGGCGAGTGCGGGCACCCAGCGTTCGACCACATGTCAACTGCGCTGTGCTTCCCTCTTTGCCTCTTTCCTCACTCTCCTCTGCCTCTTCTCTCCATAACTCACCGTCTGGCGTGACGGGAGCCAGGGCCATCTTCCGCGGCGCTGCGTGGTCTTCAATTGTAAAGACCTTGCGGCCAGTGCCGTCGACCCTGAAGCAGAACCTCTCCCTGTGTAAGATGGCCCAAACGGCCGCCGGGACGGCCCACGAGGGCTCACGAGGACCCCGATGACGGCCCTGCGAGTCGAACAATCAAGCAAAACCATGCATTGCCCAATGTTTTTGGCCCCTGGGCCCCCCCCCCTGGGGCCCAGGGTCAGGACCCGGGGCCGAGGCGGGGGTCGAGGCCGGAGTCGAGGCCGGGGTCGGGGCTGCATGGTTTTTAGTTTGCGTTGGTTGTGCTGTGCCTTGGCCCTTTCTTGCGAAGGCCTGACGGCCGGTGCCGCCGATCCTGAAGATGAGGACGCTGACCACGATGAGGTAGAAGGAGGAGAAGTAGGACGAGCAGGGGGAGGAGTCGCATGAGGAGAAGGAGGGTGAGGAGGATGGGGAGGAGGAGGTGGAGGCAGAGGTTCAGGGGAGGTGGGGGGGATGGAGGGGTGTTAGTTGTGCCATTGTGTGCGGCCTACCTGCTTACATAGTCGTTCCGACCACTGGGGATGCACTCGCAACGCATTCATCAATTTTCCCTGTCCTCTGTTATTCCGCCCCTTTCCTCCCAGCGCTCGCTTCGTCGCGATGTCGGTGCAGAGGACTTGTACTGAAGTGCTGTTTGGACAAGTGGCAACTTGATGCCCTCGGCCCGATTTTGCGAGACCTTTTGCGGCTGTAAACTCGTCGTTGGTAAGCAGTGCCCTCGTTCATCCTTTGTTTTTCGTGCCTCGTCACTCCGTCCACCGTTCCTTGTCCCTCGTCCCTCCAACCTCATCCCTCGCCCCCCCCCCCCTCCCTACAGACAACACGCCCAGTAAGGACGCGCGCCTTTATCTAGGGTACCCTTGTGTCCTTGCCCCTGCGGCCCATCCTTTGCCGTTTTCACTGGTCGCCCGCCGCCCAAAAAATCCCAACGTCGGCCTTCAAGGGTCTTGCGTCCTTGCCGCCCGTCCTTAATACATGTTAATTACCACCTGTTCTTACCACACCGGTATAACATCGAGGGATCGAGGTCTGTCCGGGGGGGGGATCCCTGGTGTTCTTCGTGCTTGTTGGGTGTTCTCGTGCACCCTGGAGAGGGTACCCTTGGATGCTCTGTGTGCTTTGGCGGAGGGTCTCGTGTTCTTGAGGGATGTTCTTCTGGCTTAGGTTCGATTGTACCTCTTCACTCCTCCCTCCACCTTCCTGCTCCTTCTCGTCCCTGCCGTGGCGCAGCGCAGGTGTCAGAACGTATGCCAGTGCCGCGCCGCAGCTGCGAGGCCCTTGATCACGTCTCATCTTTCTCGGGGCATGTCGCGTCCATATCCAAACGGAAGACAAGCAGACGGTCGGACCGAGGCATAAGATCGGGGTCGGCTCGGGGAGGATACCCCATTGCTCTTCGTGTTTGTTGGATGTTCTTGTGCACCCTGGGAGAGGGCACCCTCTAACGCCCTTCAGTTTGGCAGTTTTGGGCCGGCGGAGAGTCATGTTCTCGAAGGTCGCCTCTTATCGCATGACCCTCTTCGGCCTCTTCTTTTCGTCCCCTGACGCGCAAGGTGGTAGATCTCCACAAGGGCGAGACGTCACCTTCAAAGCTTGGAAGCTCTACAGGGGGCGCCAAGGCGCCCTCTGCATCCAGGGGGGAAGGAGGATTGATGCCGTGACTTTGCCGTCCTGAGCATTTCTTCTCGGTGGTTGATGTTTCCGAGGCCAACTCTGGGCCCAGGGCCCTCGATGAATAGGTGTTTGGCGAGATCCAATCCTTCCAATTGCTGGCTTGGTGAAATCCAAACCCTACGTATTGAATATACCTGTCAGGACCTCGGATGTCCAGGGATGCGGGGTGGGAGCGCATAGAGGAGGAACCAGGATCGAGGAGGAGGAGAGGACATGGGAATGAAGATCGATGTGTTCGCGTGGTCGAGTGGAGTCATCGAGGGGGAATGAGGACATTTTCCTGTTGTCAGCGCATCAACTCCCTTCATCGGCATACCATACGATAATCAACTCCTTGTACAGCATGCTGGCTATGGTGCCTCGGGGCGCCTGAAGCAGGTCGATCGCTTCTTTGTGGCTGAAGCAACAGCAGCACGGTTGACCACATGAGGCTTGGTTGCAGCTCTGAAAATCGTCCATCGTGTTCTGGTGTACCGCTGCCAAACTAATGAGTTTGGCGGGAAGATGGGGTAACCATACAGGCAACACGCTGAGACGTAACAGTAGGCCGCCTAGTGCAGCAGGCTTTGGAGCACGGACACGTTCTGAAACCGAGGTTCAGCGCCTTCCATTGTACTCACCAAGAAGGCAGCTTAGCCTGCTGACCGCACGCCTAGAGGCTGAGAAACTACAGATGGTCCATAGCTTCTCACAACTATTCAAAAGCGGCGGTCACTCGTACGTGCATACATGAATTTGCACGCGATATCCGTGGTGCTCAGCGAGCACCACACGTGGCGATGCCTCCCCTCTGTCGACTTCCCCTCTGCCCCTGCATTATTGTGAGCCAGCGCGCTCCAGTGACGCGGAGTGCTTGTCTTCTTTGTCTTCCTTCAGAATCGCGATGAAGAAATGACGCGTGATGGCGGCGATTGGGGCAATGCAGGATGGTGCATTGTAGCCCCCCAGTGCGACCACCCCCTTCGGGTGCCAATGACGAATACCACAAAGTGTGATAACAGGTGCGCTCTTGGCGCCGCGACTTGGCGGTAGTAGAATGGTTCGCAGCTTCGCCCTGGGGTAGAATGCACCCAGAGGTGTAACTAAGCATACGCGCAGGTGACGCATATGATTGCCTCCTCCCCCTGCACTTGCTTGCTCCCTCTGTTTCCTTTTCGTGCTCTCTCTCTCTCTCTCCCTCTTCCTTTTTTTTGGTTGTCTGTTTCCCCTCCTTCCCATCATCGACGTTGCCCTCACCCCACAACCCTGCACTGCAAAGGCATCCTCCTATCTGTCGTCCTCGCCTTTGTCCTGCGCTGCGCCCGAAGAGGCGAGCAGCGGCGCCAGAGGCGGCGGTCTGATTGGCCGCTGGTTTGGCTGCCTGAAGAAGTCGGACCCCGGGCCCGCCCGCTGCTGCACCCTGCGAGGGAGGGACGGACATATTCGATGCTTATCTTGGGAACCTTCTTGGGGCCGGCCTAGCGGATCTGTTCGACTCAGATTCGACTCAGGTTCGACTCAGGTTCGACTCAGATTCGCTTCAGGTTCGACGCAGGTTCGACGCATGTTCGACGCAGTTTCGACGCAGCTTCGACGCAGCTTCGCCGCACGAGTGGAGCGAGTGGCTCCAGGAAGGTCCCCAGAATGAGCATCTAAGGGAGGGAGGATGGGGGGCGGCAAAGAGGTGGGGTGATGACTCGTGGCGGGGCGGATATCGTGGCGGGGGCCATGGTGTCTTCCCAGATTTTTCATGGCGCACATGCAATTACAGGAAGCTCGGAAACAGTTATCCAGGCTCAAGCCAGAACTCACGGTACACACCAACGTGGGTCATCGGCTTCAGCGTGCTGAGCAGAAGTGTGAAAGGATTCGCTTGCAGGTGGAATAACAAAGTGAAGTAATACGATACACTCAGGAGAAGTTGGACAGTCTCGAGTCACAGCACATCCTGGCTACAAAAGAAGTTGAGCAGCTACGCAGAGAGTTGGTGGAAACGCTACCTTCCTCGGCGGCGGCTAAGTCACAGCTCAACACGGACACGGACGAACCCACGGACAACCCCGACGAGCAGGCCCTGCTTGAGCAGTCCTTCGCGTCGGACGGTTTCAAGCTATACAAACAGGCGTTGGAGAGGAAGGAGGCCAAGAAAGTGGCCCCCCAGAGTCCTTTCGACGCTGACGGTGATGCGCGCATGGCAGGAGACAGTGAGTTTGCTGGTCCCATGGGCGCCAGAGTGTTCAGAGGTCACGGGGCAGGTGGTCCAGAGGCCGACGGACAAGAGCGTGATCGTGGAGCAGGTGGCCCAGATCAACGTCAGGACGATCGTTGAGCAGGTGGCCCCGATCAGCGACATGATGCTGCTGCGTCCGCAGGTGGTGGAAGCACAGCCTTTCGATTTTGGACCAAGAGCTCGAGGCACTCTACTTCTCGGCGCAGAGGGTCGACAAGAGGGCCTTCGGTGAGGCCATCACGGCCGCGCTCGCTGCCAAGAGACTGGTGGCATGGGTAATAGACCCACGCTGCCCAGATGCTCAGGATTGCCCATGTCGAAGCATGGCACGGTTCAGCCTCCCCCAGCTCCGCCTCGTCTCGACCCCGACAGTGAGGGTCTGTTTGGCAACGGAGAAGCGGTATAATCCTGAAACGGCAACTGTTGGGGAACCTTGAAGAAAGGCTGGCTGTCTCGACGGCTTTCATTTTCTTGGCTCAGGAGGTCGGTTTCTCGGATGACCTCCTGGCCGGAAAGCAGGACTCGGTTCGAGAGCTCGGATGGAAAATGTTGGCCTCCCCCTCTGTCCTGGGGGCCTCAGGTCGGCCAAAGTGGGGGCTTGCGATCTTGGTGCGATCCCACATCGGTATCATATGGTCCCATGAGGGCGGCATCGTTGTCCCTGCTAGAGTCATGCGTGCGATTGTTGACATACCCCAGTGGCCCCCGATCACTGTGATGTGTTGTGTGTCTATTTGAAATCAGGCACGGGCTTGTGTCAGCTTAATGTGTCGTACTTAACTGCTATTGGGAAGGCTTTGGACAATGCCCCTATGTTCGCTTGCGGAGGGGACTGGAACCTCGACCCCCCTTATCGTGGAAATGGCTTGCCTCGTCAGAAGATTGTTCGTTCCCAAAAGCAGAACCTGTGTCAGTGCGAAGCCGCTCACCACGATAGTCTTCTTCATGTGTAGTTCGCCCTTCTCCAAGGCTGTTGAAGGCATTCCGTGTGATTTACAGTGGCGAGGACGATCTCGCCACCCTGTGCGTTTGAGTTTGAAGGATCGCGCGACTCGCATGTATCAACTTGTGTATCCTAGCCACCAGAGGCTCCCAGTCGAATTACCTTTCGGGCCCTCTCCTGAGCCACCCGGCTGGGCGGTCGCCAGAGATATGGCCGAGTGTGCTGCGGAGGCTGCCGTGAAAAAGGCCCGTCGGTTTCGCTTGGGAACTCCTCAGCAAGGCTTGGAGAGTCTTTTCCCGACCGCCTCGAGATCGACCTGGAAGCGTCTCTGGGGGCCAACATAAGGAACAAAGGTTTGAAAGGAGTTTCCCCCCGTCCCTCGTGGGTCCCCATTTTTGCTACCCCAAAGAGTGCTAGCGCGGAGTTGGCGTGCCAAGGGTGGGTATGGCTCGCCCAACTCTGTTCGGGGACGACGGGGTTTGTGTCTAGGCTTTCAGAGGCCGTCAGAGATCCTTCCACCTCGCCAGCCAAGGGTGAGGAACTTGCGCATGACGCGCAACAGCCAGTCCAACATATTTTGTTGCAGCCATGCCCTGGACAGGGCCTGGCTGCCAGGCTTGACGCCACTGTTGCTGGCGCCAGGGGGCTGATGCGACGTTGGCCACCGTCTTCGTTCGAGGACTGGTTGCATGAGTCGCGCGACTTCCAGGCCTCGTGGGAGGACGACCGTGTTCTGGCTGAGAAGGGCCTCAAGGCGGCCAAGCCGGACTCCTGGGGCGAATGGCCAGAAACCAGCGTTTAAGAATGGGGCTAGGGCTATGCATCGGCTTACCAAGTTAAAACAGAAATGGAGCCCCGCGATCGTCCAGGTCCACCCCGGAGTTTTCAGCAGTGACCCTCAAGAGCTCTTGGGAGCTGAACGGGACACGCTTGCCCGTTGTTGGCGCGCTTCTGCTAGGCCAGACCTGGTGGAAGTGCCCGACCGCGCGCGCTTGCCGAGGGCTTCGGCCCAAGACACCAGGAAGGCTAGTGCGACTTTCTCTGCTAACGCGTCTCAATCGTTAGATGGGCTCCACCCCGAGCAACTGTCGCTGGCGTCGGACGCAGCTCTTGAAGTGTTGGCGGCCTTGTACCAGGCTGTCGAAAGCCTGGGGCTTTTTCCGAAGCAACTTTTCTGGCTGCTCTTCCCCCTCCTAGAAAAACCGAAGGGTGGGTTGAGACCCATCTTGCTGTGTGCTGGACCCGTCAGAGTTCGGGAGCGATTGAGAAGACCGCTTTTGTTGAAGTTTAATGACGAGTTACCCCCGTAGGTTCTGGGCTTTCGGACCAGGACGCAGCGCCGAAGATGACTGTGCGGCGCCAGGCGGCGCGTTCAGAAGTTTGCGCGTTTGAAAATCGAGTTGCGCGTGGAGTCATTTTGGACGGGGCCAAATATTACGAGAGTTTTGATCTCGAGCTCCTCGGGGCCAGAGCGTTGGCCCGCGGATTTCACCCAGTCATTGTGAAGACGACGCATAATTTTTGGAGAGGCCCAAGGCTTCTGCGGTTGGGAGCCCAATAAGGGGCCAACCCGTTTTTTGCACGTTCAGGCTTACCAGCGGGTGACATCTTCAATGATCTGTATGTGAGGGTATACAGTATTGAAGGTTTTGACCAATTCTGTGTGGATCATCCGCGGGTCCACCTGAGCTCGTACGTCGATGACGACTCCCTCGCGGCTGAAGGTGAGACAGAGATCGAAGTGCTCGAGAGGATGTCCAAGGCTGCCGCGGCCATGTTCACCGTTTTTAGAGATTATATGCATGTACAGCTTCAAGCGGACGAGCTCGCAACCTTCGCGAGCTCGGCCCAGCTCGCGCGCAAACTCGGCAGGCTGCTCGGAGGTCTTGCGGGGAACGTTACCAACAGTGCTGTTGTGTTAGGGTTTGACCTTGCGGTCGGACAAAAGAGGAGATCTCAGACTGCCCTCTGGAAACGTAAGCAAAGGTTTAAACGCATAGGAGGTTCCGCGAGCTTCTTCCCCGAAAGAAAGGTGGGACAGGGCAGATTTACACTGCGGGGGTGGCCCCAGCGGCCACCTTTGGTTCGGCCATTGTCGGAATGGATGACAAAGAGATGCGCGAAGCTCAGAAAGTTTTGTTGGCCCACAAACCACCGTGCCATCGAGGCGGCTCTTTTCATGCCGAGCTTGCTCTTGCGGGCGGCCCAGTCTGCAGGGCGGGGGTCGCCCCGGCCCTGCACTGGGCGCACGTGGTGTGGATCGCTGTGACCACGCCAGAAGTTTCCTTCTACAGCGTTGAAGAGTTGCGCCAGATGTGGAAGGCCTTCCCCCGCGGAGAAGGTTTGGATTGGAGGAGCTCGCGCGGCCCCATCCAGAGAATGCATCTCTCGTTGAATAGGATTGGACGGCGATCCACATCGGCCGTCACGTGGCTTGATGAGTTTGAATGGGTCGTGCACCTGAGCTTCAACAGCCCTGCTCTACTTGGCCAAATGTTGAGGATCGGGGCCCAGAGACACCGCGAGCGGGTTCTTGCGGAGCTCACGCCTGGCTTCTCTGGCAGTCGTGTTGCCACGGAACCGTTGGTCCGTCTGCTGTCTCCTGGGTCCAAGAAATTGGTTCCCCGTGAAAAGTACATGGCCATCGCGAGTTTTTGTGGAGGCATCTTGACGCGGTCCAGGGCCAATGCCTCGGGCTACGACTGCGGCGCCCAGTGCCCTCTGTGCCAGGAGCAGGACAGTGTGCGACGCCGCCTCTGGGATTGTCGGCACTCGGACGTCGTTTAGGCACGCGCCGAGGCTGTCGGCGAGCATGAGGAGTGGCTGCGCGAAGCGGTCACCAGCGAGGACCGCAAATTCTGGGACGCACTGAAGTGGGGCCATCCTGGTCAAAGATCCCCCCTCCCAGTGACAACCCCAATCCGATTTTGTTCGACCCCCAGGGCCAGGCAATCCCGTGGGATTCGGTGGACCTCGAAGGCCTTGATATATGTATGGACGGTTCGTGTCTGGGGCGTGTGCTGGGAGATTTATCTCGAGCCGCCGATGCCTGGGTTCTCCTCGACGACGTAGGACATGTTGCGGCCTATGCTCAAGGAGCCGCGTGCAATGTGATGCAGCAGGCGCCGCAGGCTGCGGAGCATCAGGCTATGGCTTGTGTACCAAGCTTTGTTGGCAGGAGTGGAGACAGGTATTCGGATTGTGCCACGGTCGCTAAGCTGTGTCATACGGACCCCAGGCACCAGGCTTCTAGAAAGCACCTTTACGGAGGAATGCGAAGATGCGCTCTGCTCCATGAGAAGAAAGGGCATTCGTTCAACGTCGTGCACGCCCCTGCCCACAGGCCCCAGGAAACCCTCGACAGTCTTCCAGGGCCCGAGAGGAGGATCGGCGTGGGAAGCAAGCTCGCGGATACGTTAGCCAAGCAAGCCCTTCTCCTTCGCCCCCGAGCCCCGAATTCGCAGTGGGTTACCGTAGGAGAAGAAATCCGTAAGGGCTTCGCCCCCTGCCGCCGGCCCCCTCTCTCGGATAATGGGCCATGGAAGAGCTAAGTCATGAGGCCTTGGCGCTGTCGTGAAGCAGTATCGAAACTTCACGCGAAGCCGATTCGCAATCAGCAAAACCAACTGATCACAAGAGGGGTTACCACACCTGGCGATTGATAAGACGTGTATGGTTTACGGGCTTGGTTACCACACCTTGCGATTGAAGGGCCGAGGGAGTTCTCGCAGTTTGGGTTACCACGCCTGGCGATGGATGTGCGTGAAGGGTGGCACCGAATTTCAGAAATGTGGCAAATCCCTTGTGTTTTTGGACCCTGACCCCGCGGATCTGCGTAAGGGGTGGCGCCGAATTTCAGAAATGTGGAAACGCCCTTGTGTTTTGGGACCCTGACCCCGCGGATCTGCGTGAGGGGTGGCACCGAATTTCAGATTGTGGCAAATCCCATGTGTTTTTGGACCCTGACCCCGCGGATCTGCGTGAGGGGTGGCACCGAATTGCAGAAATGTGGCAAATCCCTTGTGTTTTGGACCCTGACCCCGCGGATCTGCATGAGGGGTGGTATCGAATTTCAGACATGTGGCAAATCCTCTATGTTTTTGGACCCTGACCCCGCGGATCTGCGCGAGGGGTGGCACCGAATTTCAGACATGTG